AAATCTACTGTGTATGACTCATCTGAAAAGTGTGTGCAGAGGAACAGCATGTGAGACCTCCTACTGTGGATATACACAACACCTAGCTTCATGGATAGAGTGGTGACAGATTAGAGCCACAGTCAGGTTTGACTGTGTACCGGTTTCATGTTCTCTATTTTTCCTGATCCCCCATTGCCAAAGGGAATGAAAGGGAGGGAAAATCCGAAAACTTGACTTTCTACCATCACTGGAAAGAAGGAGAAATCTACAATGGGGACATTAGTTTCTGTGACAACTGTCTAAGAGGAAATCTCTCTCATATTGGCAAGACATCCTCTCACTTCCTGTTGAGTCTACGGGACTTGAAGCAAATGGAAATCTCCCTAGTAAAACGCACACAAACAAAAAGATGGCATTTTTAACCCTCCCCTACCTCTATTCAAAATGAGGAAACAATTTGTCTTAATGCCTCATTCACACAGGGCTTATGCTGTGTTCTGGGATTCCTGCAGCAAGAACCTATGGATTTCTGCGGCAGGAATCCCAGCTGTGCTTGTTCAAATGTGGCCTCTGTACCCCTTATGTTATTGACAGCGGTCGCGTATGTCAACAGCAGTTCACATGTAATCATACATGATATTGATTACATGCGGTTTGGGATTGATGCTCCAGGGACAATCCTTGCATCTGAACGGTGCACCTGGGATTCCTGCTGTAGGAATCCCAGAATGCAGCATGTGAATACAGATTTAGATATACTTTCAGGGGCCATTTGCTTCTTTATGGGGCATTAATGTGTTTTGCGTCAAGACAGTCCTTTCACAATTAATGGGCTGCCAATGCATGCTTAAGCTCATGCATGACCTTTTTTTGTAACCTGTGCACTACCATGCTTTGCAGCATGGTACAACACACGTGCCCTGGGGTGCCATTAAGTAATTAAGTTGAAATTCACCATGAGAGCCTGGTAACTAGCACTTTTAGAAGTGGTCAGCCAGCACCAGCCAGACAACAAGTCAGGACCAGCCTGGCAAGATGAGGGGTACATAACAGCATGTAACTGGAATTAGTTTACCTCTATTAGTAAGTGGTTTTTATCAAGCATCATGGATGTTGCAGAAATTTTCCATCACTGAGCTGCTTTGCAGGCAAAATTTTCTTGGAATTCAAAATAATTTTTTCACATTTTTTTTCTACGTAGTCGTTTAGCTTATTTCATGTAGTATTTTTAGAATTTGTGTTTTTTTTCTTTTATATTGTGTATCAATTGTTATTTGTTTACTGTCACTTTGTATTTTACTTTTTTTTCACGGTTTATCTTTCTGTGGAAAAAAAAAACAACCCCATAAATAATGAGGAAGTGTTTTGTTTTTTTTTAGCACAAGAACAGGTCCAGGATAGTTGAAAGGATCCTCAGGAGGTTTACAAAGCTCATTGCACCCTTGAGGACACCCTGTCACCAATTTACAAAAATTGTAGGTAAAATAACAGAAAAACTAGGTATGTTAAATGCTCACTTTCAGTGTTTTGCCTTTTCATAAATGTTTTTATATTCCCTTAACTCACTTTAAACAAGTCAGCTTGAAGAGAGAATTTGCTAGCAAATTTGACTTATTTAGGAAGTATCAATTCCCTAGCACAGCCCTCTCCCTCCTTGTATGTCATACTCCTCTCCTTTACCGGGAGTGTCTAATTACGCTCTTTGCTGACCCAGTTCCTCTGCCCCTCCCTTCACCTCCCTACCGAACCCTTGATTTAGGATTTAGGGAAGGAGCAAAGGGTAATACTATACAATTTCACTTGAGTGACAGCTCTGAGATGGCTGACTTAACATCCAAGATGGTGATGGCCAGCAGATTTCTCAGGCCTTTTGGATGTCTACGCAAGGGAAACTTTTATAGGTAAATAACAGGGGCGGACTGACAACACATGGGGCCCCCGGGCAATGCATGGTTATGGGGCCCCCTTGTGCTCCGCCCATATACAAGCCCCTCCCACAAGGCCCACCTGTATAAACATTCTTGTGTCACAGATCAGGCAGGCACAGCCCTCTAATCAGGCATGTTAGAGGGCCGCCCGCTGGGGCCTCCCGAGGCTCTTATTGGGAGTGAGCAGCCGCCCGATTAGAGATTGTGTAGAGATGTCACCAGCACACCAAA